ATAATCGCAAAACCCTTTTCTTAAAAGGCCAGATTCTGAGATTAGTGGTCCAGATTTGATTCTGACTGCTATGTCTATGATATTGCCACATGGCTTGAATCCTGACTAATAACTTCATCTAAAGAATGAGGGTTATAGAAGTGCCTATATCTTAAGTTTGTTTTGAGCATCAAGAAAGATATTGCATATAAGTACTTAAATGCTCTCATTATGTTAACTGCTTATCAACACATTAATTGTTCATGCTAATATGAGTGTGTCTATGCTACTACTCACTTTTCAAAGGTATATATTGTGGTAAATCATAACTAATAATTTCACAAACTAAATATATCCCATAAAAGTTTATTTTCACATATTGCCTACTGTCCACACTTACTAAATTCTGTCCAAAAATGAAAAGTATTTCTCTTTGCAGCATATTGGCAAACCTCAGGATCCTCCAGCTCCACATCTAAGATACTCCACCAACTGTGTCTAATTATTTTATATAGCCAGTGATCATGTGTCATCAGCATCATCAGGAGATAATAGTAGGCATAAACTGGTAATTTGAGACCCAATCCTGCATTTGTTTTTTTAAAATCAGAATTGCTCGTGGAATGATATATTTTTCAGCCAAACGCAAACTAGGGAGATGTCTTCATCTTATGTAGATTATTTTCTTCTTCTCATTAAACTAAATAGGCTAAAACATATAAAATTAAAGGTTTTATCAAAATTTAGATTTATGCCTTCTGCTAAAAAAATAAGAATTGTTAAGAGTGAAGTTACTATAATGGAACCCATAGTGACTGTGTGGCTGTAGCTCTTTCTGATGAGATCTGATCTCCCTCAGGTCCTCTCTGTCCACACTGCTCTTTCTCACACATCATTTATTCAGGATCATGTAATTAATGAAGATGCTTTGCTTCTTTGACCCAAAAACTCAATTGTGAATATTTCATTTTGTATCTTGTTTGAAACTTATTGTTTCAATTTATATAGATATTAGTTGAGTTATAATGGTGAAAATAAATGCACTGTTAGCATTGGAATTATTGTTTTAAACTTACTGGTGTCTTTCCATAAAATGCCTTAATCTATACTATTTGGAAATATTATTTGTTCTATTTCTCAAAAAGTAAAAACAAAAAAGCAGGTTAAGGAAAAATAACTGCATTCGTATTACAATTATTTATCAAGTAAGCATCATCATGGCTCATGTTCAACTTGGGCAGTTAAGCTTATCCACTAATTAAATGGTAAGCAGATTATTAAACACTGATAAAGGAATAGCAGAGAAGTGGGTATTTGTATCAGAATATCTTACTATAATCAGTGCAAAATTGTCATTTTCAAGTTGAGCAGTGTGGGTCACATCTGCAATCCCAGCACACGTGGATTGAAGAGTACTGTGACTCCAGAGCCAGTGTGGAATACACAGCAAGTTCCAGGCCAAGATGAACTGTAAAGTGAAGTCTTGTCTCAAATTGCTCCCCATCCAAACCCAAACTGTGCCTCTGTGCACTAGAGTCAAGTGGAATTTGGAATGATGCTAGGGGCTTCAGAGTAGATTTCTTGGCCTTCTGCCTGGGTTCATGGCCTCTGCCTTATTTTCGTAAAGTCTGATCATGAAAGGAAGCGAACAATCTGTTTCACAGCGTTCAATGCTCTAAGTAGATGGTTAGTTCTTTAAATATAGACATTTTACCATGTTTGAATTTCAATTATTAAAATTTAAAATTATTCACATTAGTAAGAATCTCAAAAATAAATTGCAATTTTCATGATCATTTGCTTAGTGTGCTTTATCTATAAGTATTCTTATTTAAGTGTATGGAGTGCTTTTAATTTACCAACAAGCTTAAAATACCTGCTTAAGAAAATTTCAGTATATGAAGCTACACCAAATTTTCATTTAATGTTCAACTGCTTATTTCTTAGAACTGTGTTCATTTCCTACCATAAGATGATGATCCCTAAGAACCACTTGGTATCACTGAAATAAAAAATGATTATTACCATTTATAAGTCACAGGTATTATTATTTTTATATAATATCCCTTGATGTCTATTGCCACAGTGTTTAATTACACTTGTCAAGAAGATATTAACATAGAAATGATATAGATAAAACAAAAGAATTTAATAAAAGATTTCATAATTTAGTTCAATGCATTGGCTAGTTAAGCTCTATTTAGATCCACATATGTAATTCCAGTTCTTAAGTTTACATTATCCTTTCAAATGCTAAATAATGGTGTGTTGTTAATTTCTCAAATAGAAAAACAACAAAGCACTTACAAATTATTTGCAGATGGGATGGTTTAAGCAAAGGCATTTTTGCACGGTTTCTAAGTTCAGAATGAGTTGGAAACCATGGTTATATATCTTCAAGAATGAACAGAACCACCTGAATCACACCATATACACTGGGTTGCTTTCTAGCTCCTTCCAGTAGAAAGAAGAAAAAAGAAAACTACCCTCTCCTATCTATCATCCTTCTTTCTTTCTTTGTATCTATCATCCATCAATCTTTCTATTTTCTTTCTCTCTCCCTCCCTCTTCCTTCCCCTTCCCCACCCAATTTCTTTCCCTCCTTTCCCCTTCCCTCTCCCTCCCCTTCTTTCTTTCCTTCTCCCCTCCCTTTCCCTCTCCCCCTCCCCCCTCTTCTTTCTCTTCTTTACTTCCATCATTCCCTCTTTCTTTTTAAGGCCACTTTGCTCATTAGACTGTTTCTGTACTTTTGGTCTTATTCTGGGTTTGTATGTTTCTAGCTTCCTCTGTCTCTTTTCAAACTACTGTCTCACAAGGAAGATAGAACAAAGAGATTTGCAGAGCCCTTGTGTTGTCTTCCACTTGTGATACAAAATTCAGTAGTTGGGACTGCACATTAATAATTGAAAAGTATTCTCTTATGCATAGAACTTATCCGTAACAATGTAATTCTTACTGTTTTCTCTTTGCCTCAAAATCCATCCCCTTTAATGTCCTGCAGTTTTATTTTACTATTTGTGTTGTTGTTATCTTGTCAAGATGTTCCCAAATCATTACGGATTTTAATGAACCTTTCCAGAACTGTTTCCAGAAATGAAAGCTAAATAAGAAACAGTTCTGACCTTAGAGATGCTCTTAACCAATTAAGAAAGAACATAGAAAAGATTTTAGTGAGTAGAAACTTGCAGATCCACACACTGAACTCTAAACAAACCAACAGCAAATGATGGTCACATATGGAGTTAAAGGAAAGATTCCCAGGGCAGCTAAGGCATTAGCAGAACCATCTGAGTTCAGCTCACTGCTGCAGCACAGGCACCCACACAGCTCTGCGAGCACAGAAAGGCAGAGGGCATATTGGAGGACAGCAAGGGATCTGCCTGGTGAGAAGCACAGAGCAGGATTGAAAACAGCACAGAGATGATGAAATTTAGATTGCACTCGAAAGATAGATACAGCACCATCATTTTCTTTGGCCACAAGGTAGTTCATTCTGATTCTTAGTGTATTTTTTTTAACTACAGGTTGAATTAATCAAAGGGACTATTGTGTTGTATCACCAAGCAGTTTACCCAGACAATTTTGTATTTATTTGTATGTAAGAGGCCATTTTAGAAGTTTAATTCATTAGTAATATTTCTGTTTCACACAGATTTTACTTATATAGATGAATTTTGTGAGTTTTTAAAAGACAGTAACTGTTTAAACCACATGAATTTTCTTAAAATTTGTTTATTTTTTATTTTTATATGTTGGGGGGTTGTCTGCATGTATGTTTTTGTGCTATGTACATGCCTAGTGCCCACAGAGACTAGAAGAGAACATCAAATATACCGGAGTTGGAGTTAAGAATGTTTGTGAGCTGCTGTGTGGGAGCTGGGAATCAAACCTGGGTCCCTTGGAAGAATAGCCAGGACTCTTAACTGTTGATCCATCTCTCCAGTCCCCTATATTAATTTTAAATAGAGAATTAGTCAAGTGAATTTTAACAATGAAATACTATGGATTCAGTGCCAAATAAACACCCAATACCGGCAATGGGTTACCTCTTTTGAGTTGTTGATCAAAAGGGTCCCATAGGTCACCAGAAACATTACAGGGTATTAACAAAACTATTAGTTACCCACTAGAACTTGACAATAATACCCTAATGCTGAAGACACCACAAACTTATGCTATAGAACATGGAGAGATCTAACTGGCACTCAACTGGAAGCTTCATCTATATCAGCTATAGTTACAATGCCAGAAAGTGCTATTACATCAGTCTCCCCCGGTTGTGAATCCTAAAAGTTACAATAACATCTGGCCTGCCAATACACACTCCACAAATGCCGTGGGGGTAACCAATGACTTTCTGATTGGATTTAAGGCTGATTCCACAGGATGAAACCTGGTTTTGACACTAACAAGGAAACCAAGAACCTGAGGCTAGAAAGGTAATAGGTTCTAATGGAAAATACATTATTCTGTTAAAGGATCATAGTAATGACTCCAAATGGCGTATTGCTATACCCACAAATCAGTGCATCACTCAGACCTCACCAGAGAAGCTTCTTCTTTCAGCAAATGGCAATTAACACAAAAATCACAGTTCTTTTGTTGAAACAGAACTATTTTCTTTTCTTCTTCTTTTTTTTTTGTAACATAACAACCTTTTTGCCCCCAGGATAAAACAGTTGACCCGCCTCACAATCTCCTTTAGGACACACAGCAAAATAAATGGGGCTTAACTGCATGCCAGGTCACAAGTGCCCTTCTACACTTCTAAGAGTGGAAAGTGCCCTGGACAGGCAGAACTGTGGCAAAAAATTACTCTGAATGAGCAACAATCAGGTCCCTTTTGGTATGATGGCAGGATGTGTAAAGGGGTCAAAATGATGATCTATAAACTATGGAAGAAAACTGGGTCAGTAGAAGGGAATAAACCCAAGTACCAGAGGGAGGAGAGGCTAAGCTCTCGGGAAGCAGTGAGAATGGGCCAGGAGGAAGCCAGCTTCAGGAAGAGAAGAAACCAGCATTCACTCCTCCTTCTTGTCCGAGGGACCACGTACTGAGGCCTGCAGCTTGGCATGCTCTTCCAACAGGCGGTCGTATTCCTTGGTAAGGCCCTCAGACTGCTTCTGCATGGCCAGAGCCTCGTTTTCAGCTTTCTCTAGTTTTTTCTTGGTGTTGGCCAACTCATCTTTTAGCTTCTTCAGGCCATTCTTCAGGCTCTTGTTCTCCTCTAACTTCACCTCAGTACTCCCAGCATCCAACTTTCCTCTGTCCTCAGCAGCTTCCTTCTTTAGCTGGTCATTCTCCTCCATGTATTTCTTGGCTGCCTCGCTGGCATTTACTGCCTGCTTTTTAAAGGCTTCATTGGAGGCCAGCAGCGTGGCCTGCTGGGAGATGAGAGTTACCAGGCGTCTAAGCAGGAAGGACAGCAGCAAGAAAAAGCCAGCAATATGGAGATTCCTTTGAGCACGGAAAAGCTTCATGTGGAAGTGCTCCATGGCACCCAGATTGTTGTGGAGGTTCACCTTTTCTGTCACATCATCATATTTTCGGATCTCACGCACAGCATCAATGACCAACAGCACAAGGATGATGATGAGAACCACAAAGAAGGTGATGCCATAGGTCACTACCAACTCAGCCAGCCGGGATTTGAAAATCTTCTGCCATCTTTTGGGGGGAATGAAGGGAATGCAGAGAAGCAACCCAGCAAAGACCTCTGCGTAGAGGAAGGCGGCAACAGCAGTCCACTGCAGACTCATCCTTTGACTTAAAGGTTTCCAACAGAGAGATGGGAGCTTGTTTCCTTTGTTGATGATTCCTTTCTCTGGGGGAGTCCAAGGAGCTCCTTAGACCGAGTTTCAGACAACTCGCACGCCCAACTGTAATTACTAGACTCTCACCACCACTCTGACCCGCCCCTTGGCCCACAGCCGGAAACCGGAAACGCGCTTCTGGCCCTGCCTACAGGCCTTGGTGAGGGTTCCCCAACCGAAACAGGACTATTTTCATCATCACTTTCAATACACTCTTCATATATAAATAAATCAGTGAATATTGTGAAGTTGTTTTTTCTAACACTTGAACTCAATGTTTCTATTTCTGTGAAGACTAATATCAACTTGACACAAGCTACAGTTATCTGACAGGAGGAAACCTCACTTAAGAAAATGCCTCGATAAGATCCAGCTGTAAGGCATTTTCATTAGTGACTGATGGAAAGGGCCCAACCCATTTGTGAGTGGTTCCATCCCTGAGTTGGTGGTCCTGGGTTCTAGAAGAAAGCAAGCTGAGCAAGCCATGATGGGAAAGACAGTAAGGAGTACTCTCCATGGCCTCCTGCCCAGTTTCAGTTACTGCCCTGACTTCCCTCGGTGATGGATTGTTACCTGGAAGTGTAAGTGATATAAACCCTTTCTTTCCCAAATTGTTTTTTTGTCATCATGTTTCATTACAGCAATTGAAACCCTACCTAGGACTAAGGGAAATTCTGTCCTAAATATCAGGCTTTATTAATTATTAACCTTCATTAAATTAATTTAATTAAGCTTTATTAAATCTGGGCTATTAAAATTTGGTTTAAATTCTCTATAAGTCTCCTACCACTTATTATGAAATATATGTATATTTATTTATACCGCTAATTGCATAGATATGCATAGTTTTAGCAATAGTTGATTCAGTAGTTCTGTATTAATTAGAGAAGTGAATAAATATATTTATACAATTATCATTTTAATGACCTTGATTGCATAATATCTCTTTCTATAATGCATATTTTGATTAAAAATCTTGTCTCCGATTTTTTCTGTTGCATTTTATCTTACTTAGATTATTTTCAAAATTTCTTAGCTTCCACTAACCAAATAGTTCAAATGACAAATTGATAGAAATGTGCTCATTAGACAACAATAATATTATGTTTTTATAAAGACTATAAAGATACTGATTAAACATTTTCCATTTTTAAGGGGTTTAAAGATAAAATTATTGGAAACAATTTTAGATGGGATTCCTTACTGTCATAACAATTTTTGACAAATAAAGATAACATAATTTCTCATATTTTAATCAATGTTTTGAAAGGGAACACCAATATTTAGTATAGACTAGACTATGAAAATGTCACTTCATTTTTGAGTAAAGAATGATTTGGGAGTCTATTAGAGAACAGCTATAAATCATTATTGTATTACTTTGTAAGCAAAAAGCACAAACAACATGGTTTGCATGCTAGCACCTTCATCTTCCATTCACGTTGTGGCAGATTAATATCACCTTAGCCGAAACATCCAAACTTATGCTGTTGGCAATGTAGCCATCTGTTTTTAATGAATATCTGGGGTCCATTTTCCAGTTAAGCTTCTCTTATTGTGTGTTTGTTGCTTTTTCAGAGCTATCTGCATAATTGCTTAAAGATTTTACTGCAAAATTAATATCCTTGCTGTGTACAAGGGAACAGGGTAAAAACCAGGATGACAGAGCCAGAGATGAGGAGAAAAGCAAATCCAATTTCTGCTTGCAGCATAGAAAGCTCCTCAGGACTGGCTTTATCTGGTAATCCACATTTAAACTTTAACCTGTAGGGGGCTCTTTGTGTTAGATAATGTAAGCATAAACGGAAACTGAATCACTAATCAGATTAATTATATTCTGTAAGACTCCAAAGCTTCTTTAAAAGGACGTGGCATCCAGGCTATACATTATTGTTGTTGGTAGTGATGATAGTGGAAGAATTTGTTATATTTTTTTAAAAAAATAACAGAATAAAAAGGAAATGCTCAAACATTTGAAACTTTCAATGAACCTGTAAGAGCATAACTGAAGGCAAATATGAAATTTATAATTCATAAGCCTATAGAGTAAATATGTGAATTATTTCAATGTCTTCGTATTTTGATATTACAAACCAAAAATGAAAATAATTGCTACTGTAACTGTCTCAAATTTTGATCATTAATATTTTAATATATTGTATACATTTATAAATTATGTCATATAAACATATATGACATGTATAAAAAAACCAGCTAATGATGTGTTATTTGAAACCCTTTAAAAACATTTTGTAAAGTTGTAAGGGTTCTTTAATTAAAAAGAAAAATAGTAGATGTAACCAGGACTCTTAAGGAGAAAATGAGAATATTAGATTCTGAAGGACCAATGTCAAAACATGATGCTCTGTACCCCATTTTTAATTGGATTATTTTGTATTTTGATGTCTAGTTTCTTGAGTTTTTATATATTTTGGAGGTCAGTCCTCTGTCAGATGTGGGGTTGGGGAAGATTTTTTTCACATTCTTGTAGGCTGCTGTTTTGTCTTGACAGTGACATTTGCCTTACAGAAGCTTTTCAGTTTCAGGAGGTCCCATTTATTGATTGTTGTTGTCAGTGTCTGTGCTACTAGTGTTATATTTAGGAACTGGTCTCCTGTGCTAATGAGTTCAAGGATACATCCCACTTTCTCTTCTATCAGGTTCAGTGTAACTGTATTTATGTTGAGTTCCTCCATCCACTTGGACCTGAGTTTCATGCCTTGTGATAGATAATAATCTATTTGCATTCTTCTACCTGTTGACATGCAGTTATGCCAGCACCATTTGTAAAAGATGCTTTCCTTTTTCCATTGTACCATTTTGGCTTCTTTGTCAAAAATTGGGTGTTCATAGGTTTGTGGATTAATGCCAGGGTTTTTTTTATTCAATTCCATTGGTTCGTGTGCCTGTTTTTATACATGGATCCCCTGGAAAGGGAAATTAGATCAAATCTCCTGGGGAAACTGAAGAAGAGGGGGGTGGTAAAGAGGAAAGGAGGGAGGGTGAGAACATAAGGGAATGGGATTGTCTGGGTGGGGAAGGGATGGAATGGAAGAGAAATGAAGGAGATATCTTGCTAAAGAGAGCCACTATGCGGTTAGGGAGGAACATGGTGCTAGGAAAATTCCCAAGAATCCACAAGGATGACCCCAGCTAAGACTCTTAGCAATAGTGAAGAGCGTGGCCGAATGTCCCTTCCCATATAATCAGATTGGTGAATACCCCAACTATCATCAAAGAGCCTTCATCCAGTAATTGATAGAACCAGATGCAGAGATTCACCACCAAGCACCAGGCCTAACTCCAGGAATCCAGTTGAAGAGAGGGAAGAGGGAATATATGAGCAAGGGAGGTCAAGATCATGACGGGGAAGTCTACAGAAACAGCTGAACCACGCCCGTGGAAACTCATGAACACTAGACCAACAACTGTGGAGCATCCTTGGGACCTAACTAGGCCTTCAAGCTTCAGTTGTAAAGCTTGGACTATCAGAGAAGCCCTGACAGTAGGGCCAGGATCTATCCCTCATGCATGAGCTAGCTTGTAGAAGCCCATTCTCTATGATAAGATGCCTTAACATAGTGGGAGGGGCTTAGCCCGGCCTGAACTTAATGTGTCAGACTTGTTGACTCCTCATGGGAGCCCTTCCCATTGGGAAGAGTGGATGGGAAGTAGGTTGGGGGAGGTGAAGGGGTAGGAGGAGGGGAGGAAGGGAGAACTGTGGTTGGAATGTAAAATTAATTTTTAAAAAATTAATTAATTTAAAAAATTATGCAAAGACACTAAGTCATGCATTTCTTTTTTGGTGGCCAAGAGGGAATGGAATTAAAATGTCAGTGAACTAAATATTTGCTAGAGAAGCAAATCTTCTAAACAAAAAATATAACAAAGAAATAACTGAATTTTGTGGAAGAGGGACTGGAGTGTAACTAGGTAATTATCAGGAAAATGCAATTGCATGTGAAATTTTGTGCACATCAAAATCTCCCCTTGCACTTAAATCAACAAATAGTTTTCCCTGTATGGTAGGCAAGACTAATGATTCCTAATAAAATTACTACAAAAATAATCTTGCAAGGAAATGGCTATAGAAATCATTTCATGATAACAATTTGAAAGAGGTTTATAATTCTGGTGTTTAATTAAGAATGTAAAAAAACCTACATTTGCTCGTTTTTTCACTACAAAATATCATAGAAAATCTGTTTCTAAGAGTTTGTAATCCCATGTATGAAGCTTTGTGTTTTAAAATCAGCTATAAAACATTGCTAATAAAAAAACAATCAAGTAAAATAAAAATAATTTCAGATGTGAAACAACCAAATGAAATGAAAGGAATGCTTATAACACCAGAATATTAATCTATATTTTAAGTATTAGAAACACATTTTCTTGAGTGAACTAATAAATGTTAGAAATGCTGCTTGTGGTGTAAACATATACTTCCATTTGATAAAATCTCAATGATTTACATTAAGGATTCTGAAGTTGTGGACATACACAGGCATTTTTTTATTTACAATAATAAAATTATATCTGCAACATGTTACATTTTTAATTACAGCATTTCATTGGTGCACATTCATTGTACATAGTGATGGGTTTCAGGAAGACAGATGTTTTTATTCAAGTGTCTCATTCACTTTAATCACATTCACCCACATTGCTCCCTCCACCCTCCCCATTAGTCTCTGTTTTTCCCAACACAGTCCTGCTCTGCTTTAATGCCATATCTATAAGTGATTTTATTTAGCTATACATAATCTAGGACCTAAAAATATTTTTAAAATGGTATTTGATTTTCTGCCTCTTACTTTTTTGTTGATATCCAGTTGTGTCTGCTATCCTGAAAATGATTTAATCTCATTTTGTATAATTACATGAAATTTAATGTGAAATTTCATGGTGTATATGTGCCACATTTTATTGACCCATTCACCTGCTGACTGATACATAGATCAAGTCTATAACTTGGCTACTGTGAAAAGTTCTGCAGTGAATGGATGCACCAGTATTTCTATGATATGTCCTTTTATAATCTGTAAGGCATATCCAGGCTGGGTCACATGGTAGTTCTATTTATAG